CCCCGTTGTGGCATCTGTCTTTCATGGCTTCATTTTTTTGGCAGATATGGCACTGTGTGCGCATTCCAGTTTTTAGCTCTAGTTCATTGGTTTACCGTTCCATGACGTCATAACCAATTAGGCATTCCAACGACCTGTCAAAACTATTCCAAAATGGCGTTCGTGGCGGAAGTTCCTTATTTCCTATATGACAGTACACAATTTAAAGCTTTTTAAAGTGGATTGTGTGGTTGTTTTGTGACTAAACCCTATTTGTTTTTTCATTTTATTGACTTCATTAGGCTTTTTTCTAATTAAAAATGCCACAAAGGTGTCTTGTTGTTGATTTTAGAAGGCGTTTCAACAAGGATGAAGTCAGGTTGTTTTCAGTGCCCAACCTTTCAAATTTTTCCAATTAAAACGTAGAAGTTATTCAGTACCACTGTTCCTGCATCTAAAATAAAGCGTTACTCGAAATACTTGTAAGAATCTAAGATTTTATAGGCCTTCATTTGCTCATTGCTGTAAAAACTATGTCAAAATGTAAAGAAATGTCAACTAGACATTTTTTTCAAACTCATCGTTCGCCTACATCCCGATTTTCCTGCACTAAAGTCTTCGAATATTCACTCTGCATCTCAAAAAGTATATTATAACAAAATAAACTGTAATTAGCTCGAAAATATTTCAAATAAACTCAAGATAAACAAACAAACGTCAAATTTTCCACGCTCGCCATATTGAAAAATCACGTGGTTTGGAGAGCCTAATTTGAGAGCGTTTTCGCGCCCTTTGTTTTATTCAATATTTGAATAATTAATTATTTATTAGTGGTTCAGTATAAAGAGGATTTGAATATGGAAATATACTTCTAGAGTATTTAGCTTCACTTTAAGGCTCGAGTTACCCAATTCCTTAATTCTTAATATTTGTCCTTAATTCTTAATTCTTAAAAAGTTCAATTTATTCAACATTGGGGTTTTTAAGGATTAAGAATTAAGAACGAAAATTAAGAATTAAGGAATTGGATAACCCCGGCCTAAATACATTTTGCATCAAAATAAAATTTTATGCAACTTCCTCATTATGCAATTTTAACAAACCAACTTAATTTAAATTATTATAATTTATATATCAACGGATAGGGAAAAGAATAATCTTTGTTGATATTGAAGCAGATTTTTGTTTAAAATTCCTATCTTTAAGAAAAAAATGTGTAAAAATAAACGATTTTGTGCCATGTTTATTGCCGAAAAGGTTTAAAATAAAATAAAAATATGAAAAAATATTATAAGGGTAGCATAGAATATAGTTTTTTTCTACGAGCGTGCATTTTTTATTACTTTCCCGCACGCATCTTAGTTCCGAAAATGTCACTTTCCCGCACTAGTGCGCGATTTTATTTTTCCCTAGTGCGGGAAAATTCTATTCCCGCACTAGTGCGGGAAAGTGGCGTTCAGAAGAAGTGTCAGTTTTGTCAATTAATCAAACATTTTATCTATTTTGTCTGCCTACATTTTTGCTAGATTTACTATTATGCGCTCATAAACTATTTTTAATATTCCTATTTTCTATTTTAATCCATATTAATCTTATTTGTGAATATTTCAAAAATGTTATAATTTTTTTTGACATTGTTTGACTTTTTGGTTCCTTTGAGGCGGGGCAGTTCTTTTACCTTAGAAATTTTGTTTATTGTAACATCAAATCGATTTAATACATAATTTTTTTCAATCATTCTTGAAAGTAAACGTAAAAAAATAAAAATAAGTAATTTTGTAATTAAATTTCTTTAATAATATATCGCTTTGAATTTACTTAGCTTTTGTTTTTATGTTTGAACGCGCTCGTAGAAAAAATAATGTTCCTAACTCATGCGGAAAGTGTCTTTCCCGCACTCGACTGCTTGCTCGAACTCCGCTTCGCGTCGCTCGGGTCAACGGCAGTCGCGTGCGGGAAAGTATCACTTTCCGCACTTGTTAGGAAAATAACTATTTCCATCATCTAGTTTTTGTTAGAAGTCAATAGCTTATGTAGTTTTTGTGTAATTACAATAGAGCCGATCATCGATATTGGGCGACATTTCAGGCGAATGTATGGACTCTTGAATACTTACTTAAAATGTGGCGTTCTCGTAGATGTGTTTCAACAGGTTTATGTATCTTGAGTCAATCCGTGCGTTTTCAAATATTGCGCTTAGGTGTATAGAATCAAAGGCCTTGCTGTAGTTTACAAAAGCCATATGTAGTAGGACGTTGTATTCAGTGCATTTTTCTATAAATGTGTGAATTGTTTGAAGGTGATCTGTGGTGCTATATCCCTTCCGGAAACCTGCCTATTCCTCTGATTGATAGAAGTCCAATTTTGATGTTAGCCTGTTTGTTATGATTTTTGTAAGAAGTTTATATGGATGTGGAAGCAAGCTGATGGGTCTATAGTTTTCTATTGAGTTTTTATCACCTTTTTTGTGGCGTATGACGACCTGTGCGTTGCTCCACGATTGGGGGATTTGACTGGTCTCAACAAATCTATTTAAGAGAGACTGTATTGTTTTTAGCGCATTTTCTCCTCCTAGTCTTAACATTTCTGTTGTGATTCCGTCCTCCCCAGGAGCTCTTCCAGATTTAAGTTGTGAGAGTGCAAGTATTATCTTCGAGATGGTGATTTCTGGTATGTATTCAGAACCTGCATGTTCATATTTTGTTCGACCTCTTGGTTGTGGCGTGGTGCTGAGTAGAGTTCCTTAGAGTACTATTGGCATAGTTTACCCTACCGGTAGCTGTGCTACCGCCGGCCGGCATTGCTCCCTGGCTGTAGGGCCTGTAGGTTGCCTCTCACCAACGACAAGGCGATTGTTCCCCTAGAGAGGACTACATGCAAATTATATTAAGTGCTTTTGTTTCTTTACCAACGAGCTGTCAGTCAAAATAATTACTTTGGAACAATTAAGTATCTACTAGGTATCTACTTTATTCGTAATTCTCGAAAAACATCGATTTTCCATTTCGAAAATCGAGTGCTAAGGGCGGAGTGAATAAGTGCTTTCAGTATTGTCCACGCAATTTCAAATATAAGCTGAACTAAAAATAAGAAAATGACTTTTCAAATTTCGGAAAAGAAAGAATAAGGCTGGGTTTACCCAATACCTTAATTGGTAATTTTTGTCCTTAATTCTTAATCTTTGAAAACACCAATATTAAATAAACTGAACTTTTCAATAATTAAGAATTAGGAACAAATTGTCAAAGATTTTCAAGGTTCCTACTTATACATAAATATCCAAATATCCAAATTCCATTCCTAAATTTGTACCAGGCATATTGCATGCTGTATGACAAACTCTAAAAGATAACGTGAAAGTCGAAAAATAAAAAATAATTGTTAAACCAACTTTGTTTATTTAGATTCAGGGGAATTTCGTTACGAGATTAAAAAACTAAGCACCAATGGTTTTTTTGAATAAGTTATGTAAATAACAAGGCAGACACATAAATATTTTCTACATTTTTAATTAAATCAAGCAAACAGATAAAAAAAATATTTACATTATTGCTTCTTTAAAAAAAGTATAAAAACATAACTCCGAGAAACTTCAGAATTCTGGTAGAGCCTATTCAGCTGATCATTGAAGATGTGGGTTTACTATTTTGTAATATTTTTTGTGGCCTTATATTGTTTCCTGAAATATAGACATTCATATTGGACCAGAAGAGGTATAGCACAAGTTGAGCCAGAATTTATTTTTGGCAATATCAAAGGAGTAGCACAGGGAGAATGCAGTTTTAGTGAAATTCATCGAGAATGTTATAAAAAATTGAAGTCGCAAAACATGAAGCATGGTAAGTTTAAAAGCTTTCATCTACAACTTCTTTCTTTGATTTAGCAATACCTACTTACAATGACATGATTTATATTACCGCATTCGCACTATATTATTTTTTTCAAAGTTTTACCAACAATATCATCACTCATTACATTGAAATTGAATGAAATTGATTGCAAAACTAAAGAAAATATAGTTTGCCCTAGTAGCAACGAGATAAATTTAGTTAGTAGAGTTAATTCTACTTATTTTTTCAATCTTTCTCAAAATTACTTATAAATTCGAAATGAAATTATGTTGACATATCATGTTAAATTCATTTTTGAATAGTAAACTTCATATTAATCGTTGGCAGACATGGTTGAATTTTAATCTAATTTTAGTTACAAAAGTTCGCTGTTACCAGTGGTCTTGATTGATAGCTATTTAGGGTATTTTGTTTCTAGGAATTTGAAAACGTTTTTTGAAATTTAATTGGATTTTTCGTTGAAGCGCTGTGACGACAAAAGTAATTTTTTTAAATGGAATAACCTATATTTAAATCCATTTCTTAAACGCCCTTATTTTTCTCATTTCAAATATATATAGTTTGTTTATCTTTATTTTAGTAATTTGGAATATATTCTCACTTAAGAATCTTAAGATTCAAATAGAAATAGCGGAAAAGGTATCAAGGTAAATAAAACTACTGGTTATTACCTTTTCGGCTATTTTTATGTGAATTTTGAAGTGAGAATATATCGCAAATTACTAAAATAAATATAAACATACTATATATTTGAAATGAGGAAAATGGGGGCGTTCAAAAAATTGATTTGAATATAGGTTATTCCATATAAAAAAATTACTTTTGTCGTCACAGCACTTTAACGAAAAATCTAATTAAATTTCAAAAAACGTTTTAAAATTCCTAGAAACAAAATACATTAAATGGCTATCTTGATTTTTTCAAAAAAAAAATTTTTAGCGAAAAGGCAGGGGGTGTTCACTTTATACTGGATCACCCTGTACATACATACAAGCCCCATCCATGGTTGTCATTACTCTCATATATCTAATTGTATTTATGTACGGCCGGGCCGCAAAGCACCTATTATTGCCCTACTTACGTTTTCTTATTTTTTAAATCTTTTTAGGTGGAATATATTGGTTTTATACACCAGCATGGGTACCAATAGACTTAGACCTGATTAAAAGAATGATGTCAACAGATTTTGACTATTTTAGCTCACATGGTTTATTCAGTCACGAAAATGATTTGTTGTCCGATACTATGTTCAACGCTACCGGAACGAAATGGAAAACTTTAAGGTCCAAACTATCTCCTTCCTTTTCATCCGCAAAATTGAAAACCCTGTTTGGAATGCTTTATCAGTTAGGTGATCGATTTGAGAAAAAAAGTAAGATCCAGCAATCAAAACACTTTAAATTTTAATAGCAATTTATTTTTGCAGTTGAAGATTATTCTAAAAAAGGCGAAACCCTAGACATGAAAAATTTAGCAATGTGTTTCGGTACTGACGTTGTTTCTATATGTTTGTTAGGTCTTGAAAGTGATTGCATGAATTATCCAGAGAGCGACTTAGGAACTATAAGCAAACTTATGTCGGAACCAAGACCAGTTAAGTTTATGGTAGAAAACACAGTAAATTGGAATCTTCTTGGTACATTAGGTTATAGAGTTTGGAGTAAAAGAATCGATAATTTTTTTTTGACATTAATACCTGATGCTTTGGAGTTTAGAAAAAAAAATAAACTGTCAAGGTAATTAAGTTCTTTTTTTTAAGATTAATTTTAAGCTTTAAAATACGTGCGATACTTTTTAGAAACGACATGATTGGTTTATTGATACAGGCACAAGATAATGACCAATTGACTGAAAGAGAGGTTATAGCAAATATAGTTTCGATATATTTCGCAGGTAAGTACCTACTCGCTTCAAACTAACCTACCTACTTGCCACGGCGCTTAGGCATAGCTTATATTTATTCTGTACAACTAGCTTACATAAATTCTAAAGATAATTTTCGGGGAAGTTCTTGTGTGCATTTAGAGCGCATATCTTCATCGATCGGCAAGAGAAATACTAAATACTACTTCATTGGGTCGTATTAAATGCGTCATTATATCTCCTGGATTATATTACCTAACTAACTTGTAGGCACCTTGCAGTTGTCTTCCCAAATAAACTTTGTATATAGTGTAAAAACTTCTGATATTGGCGAAATCTGCAATGCGTACGGAAACCCACCAGTTGTTCATCAATGGTCAAATATTCGGGAGCTGAGAAAAGCTTGAAAAACTTGTTATTCTCAAACTCAGAGAATGAGTGTCGCTAACCTATCATTTGGTTATCGTTTTTGACAATATCATTAAATCTTAGATAACCTTAGACATAGAAAAAATCCCCTGTGCACTCTGATAGATATATATTTTTGGGAGAACAAATCTTGCTGAAGCCTTGTCGTTAGATACCGGTTCAACCAAGGCAAAAGCAAGACAACCTCGATCACAGAATTACCTGGCCCTCTTGTTAGGAAGCTCTACCATCGTGCTAACTCCCTGTTAATCAGAAAAACTATGGACTGTTTAAAGACTCAATAGACAGCCTCGGAACAGGACCAAAAATCGGAAATGAAAACGGACGATGAATATTGGTACACATGGGATGTCCAAGGAATCTTTAGGAAGATGGATGAAGTAATATCAGAGATCAAACATCAGGAAATCGAGTAATGGACGTTTTTATCTCCACAGAGATCAAAAAGTAATGAGAGCACTATAAAATCTGGGGGGGTATGATCATTTCTAAACTTTGTCATTTCTTCAGCGAGGTTCAAAAAGAATTAAAAGCAAAGAAAGGAATCTTCATTCTTCAGAGAAAATAGGGAAAACATATAGCATCATGAGAAATAGTAAACGAAATCATAATAAAACCAAATGTAGATATGTATGTTTCAAAACGAAATATCACAATTTTGATAATATATAGAGTGAACGGCGATGAATCCGTTAGTATAGAAGATGTATTTCATCAACAGCTCAGAGATCAATTAATAAAAGTACGAAATTCAAGGGCAATAATAAAGCTAGCAGAAAAATTTCCAGAACATGTAACGAATAACAATGGAGAGAGGCTGATATCAATATGCCAACAACAGCCCGAAAATTTTAAACGAATCAGCAAAAAGAAATGGAAAAACAAAGATTGAACCAAAGAAATACAACCTATAAAATCTCTAGAAGAACAATGCCTAAATGGGTAATAAATGTAAAGGTTGAACCAAAAATTACAGAGTAGTCTAAACTTCCAAAAACCTCGAAGCATTTGAAGCCTTAAGCAAATACGGAAAAAACACAAAAACTCTGTATTGGTTATATGAAAAAATCGAAAAAGACAAAGCAAACAAAAAGAAGAAATACCTACTAAGTATCTAAGTTCAAATATTTATTTAAATTAATATTTGAATAATTTATCAGGCTCAATATATTTTTAAATGTTATCTCTAGGAATAGGTATCTATGCAATGACACATTGAAGCAAGTGAAAAAATTTAAAATATATTAGGCTTCAAAATATCCTTGAAGCCAGGTAGGCACCCTGCGAGTATTTGAGAACTCAATATTCTTTTAAATAAGTATATGATTTTTAATTGATACGTATTATTAGGTTATGAAACTACATCGACTACTATATCGTTCCTTATGTATGAGTTATCAAAGAATCAGGAAGTGCAAGACAAGCTTAGGAAAGAAATAATGGATTTAAGAAAACTCACTCCCGATGGGGAATTTACGTATGATGATTTGGTACATATGAAATATGCCGATAAGTGCATCTATGGTAAATTTTCTTTTTTTTATAATAGTTTCTTTTACGTAGTTTTTTTTTTATATAATTTATCAGAAACGCTTAGAAAGTATCCACCAGTACCAGAGGTTCCTAGAGCTGCCGTGAAAGACTATAAAATTCCTGGCACAAACCAAGTAATACCAAAAGGTGTACTCATAACAACTCCAGTTATGAGTGTGCACTATGACCCAGAATATTACCCTAATCCAGAAGAATTTAACCCAGAAAACTTTTCGCCGGAAAATAAGGCTGCAAGGCACGAATTTTCATTTTTAGGATTCGGAGGAGGTCCTAGAATTTGCATAGGTAAGTAACCTTTTTGTAATTTTTGGAGCTTTATTTCATTTCCTGCAAAAGGGAATTGAACGACAGTTACTTTGCTACTGTCATCAAGAATAATTGGGTACATTCAGGCGGTGCCAGCGGCTAAGCTCAGCCACTCAGCAGGGACTTTATTCTCGAAGCCGAGGAACAGCGTTCTCCTGATAACAATTGCTCTGTCATTGTCAGTGTTATGGAATTGGAAATATGAATACGGACGACGAAGACAGAATCTTCGTTTTCATGAAAACGCTGCTTCCCTGTTTCGAGAATAAAGTCCCTACTGAGTGGCTGAACTTAGCCGCCGGCACCGCCTGAATGTACCCATTGTATTTCTCTCGACGTCAAGCAAACTAATCAATTCAATAAATTAAAGCTCCATTTTAGTTTACAAAAAATGTCGTATATACTACTGGGACTAGATTTTTTTTTATGTATGACCTCGGGCCGCAAAGGATCGTGGTTTCAATGACCGTGGTTTGACGGGTGTAATTTTTCAAAAATTATATTCGAAACATATAACCCGCGGTCGTACCATAAAATTTTGTATATACCACAGGCGCAAATGGCGTTTGAGGCCCTTCGCGTGCTTGAAGCTTTCGGCTGCGCCTCGTGCTTTAATTAGCACGCGGCGGGCCGGAAATACTTATAACGCCCTTGGTACATAAATAGCTATAATTTCCTAAGGCACTGCGGGGAAAAATTACATCCTTCTTTAGTCCCTGATGGCTGGGACTCTGGTAACGAATATCTAATCTCTATTAACGTCCCCTCTCTATTGATTTTGAAAAAAGAAAAAAAGACAGCAAGTGCCATAGCGATAGGGATAACGATCTCTATACGTTACAGAGTCCCAGTCCTGGCTTTTAAAATACTATTGCATAGCATAATAAAAATTATGAAACTATGATTATTACAGGTCAAAGATTTGCTATGATGGAACTAAAGATTTGCCTCATCAAACTTCTTAAGGGCCATAGGTTTACCCTCAATCCAAAAACTCCAGATAAATTCACCTTTAAGAGAAATACCCTGACACTGACAGCTGCAGAAGATATACTTTTAGATGTAGCACCTCTACATGATTAACTTTATATGAATATGTTATTTATATTGATTAACTTTATATACATTTTGTTTAAAAGAATCATGTAATTATTTGAAGCAAATAAAAATTGTTCAACTTAAACTGTTTGTACTTTATTTGGAAAAATTGAAGAAATTGTTTTTTCAACCTTTTTTCTTATACTACCGTTTCAGCGGTCTCTTGTATCTTCTGAGCAAGAGGCTAGAGAATGCCAAACTACAAGAAGAAACAGCGAACTGATTCCGTATATAAACAATTCGACTTCAGAGCAGGCCACTCCGCTTTTTCACAAGCACTCAGAATAGTGAAGGGTGCGTGAGGGTTTAACTGGAGAAGAGCCGCAGGTGTTGCTTGACGTTGAATGACCTTTCAACATAAAGTATGGCACAATGGGCTAATAAGTATACAGTGTCCCCCATAATGTTCGCTATATATGGGAATTTTTTTTATTTGTAGGATCTGGAATTTTGTCTTATGTGCAATCGATCCTGCATGTCCAATACGCTATAGAAGTACATTTTGACATCGGTCACGTGATCACTGTTGTGGTGGCAAATTCGAAAATTTAGATATGGAAACGCGAAAAGTGGAGTTAGATGGTAAAATATGGGAAAAAGTTATTTGAAAAAAGTGATAAGAACTATGTTTTAAGGCTATCTGCGAAAGGAGCAAAAGTAATTGGAAATTACTTGTTTTTCCCCATGGATCTCTTATCAAATATTATTGTGCATAAAGTGTTCTCGTTCGGGCTCAATGGCCTTCGTAAGTTGGAATTTCTTCCTGACGTTTCGCTAGCACGCATCTTCAGAGGTGCTTCTATGTCCGATTCTGGTAGCAGACTGACGCGTTTCCGACCGTAAGTTGTATTTATGTGTGAGTGGATGTGGTGGGGAAGGGGCGAGGCTTCGCACACGTGGCTTATCTGAACTTTCTCTGTACTCAATGGGATCTTTTTTGCGTTTTTGAGAATCGGGTTCCAGATTTGGTTAAGTTTAAGTGTTTCTTCTTTCCCATGGATCTTTTTGTTTTTCCTATGTATACCTTACCACATGTGCATGGTATACGATAGAGTCCAGCGCTTAACAGTAGGTTCCTCTTATTCTTGGCTGATCTGATTGAATGCTGTATTTTTCTTGTTGGCTTGAGGATCGTTTTTATGTTGTGTTTCTTCAAGACTTTCGCTATCTTGTCTGTCTTGCTTGAGTAATTGTGGCTCGCAGATGTTCCAAGCACGTTCTGTTGACGTTGTTATAATTCCACGTTTTTGCCTTGGATGGTGGTTTGAGAGTGCATGTCTGTGTGTGTGTGGGTTTTCGATACACTGTGCTGCTTAGTTAGTACAGAGAAAGTTCAGATTAGCTACGCGCTGTAAAGCCCTGCCCCTCCCCCACCACAACCTCTCACACATAAATATAACTTACGGTCGGGAACGCGTCAGTCTGCTACCAGAATCGGACATGCAAGCACCTCTGAAGATGCTAGCCACGCCTGCTAGCGAAACGTCAGGAAGAAATTCCAACTTACGACGGCCATTAAGCCCAAATGAAAACACTTTATCAATAAACCTGGGCCGCGAAAGCCTCACAAACTTTATCAATACTGTACAGCTTTTATTATTGAAATAGTGTATTGGTGAAACAAACTTAAACTCTTTATTGGTAAATATTTTCATTTTAAATTAAAACCAATTCTTAACCATTCTTATTTTGTTTTGTAGTTTGGAAAATTCGGAAGACTAGGAATATACCTACTATCCTTCCAATTATTTCTATGTTCTATGCTTTCATGAACTTAGCTACACCGCCATTTTGAATAGTCACCCGAAATTTTGAAATGTGCTTTTATTTTACATAATAAAATTACTAATTTGGTTTTTATTTGATTTTAATCCCATTAGTCCTATAAGAAAAAACTTCAGTAGCGCCATTTTGAAAAAATCCGCCATCTTAAATATGACGCCAGTCCTGATAGGGTGCTGCGGGTCAAATTAAAGTATTAATTATGTAAGGAAACTTTCTGCCAAGCGGTTTGCTTCTATCACGATTTGAAACGTTTTTCCGTGTACCGCTACGACTATACATTTTGACTTTTATCTTAAAAAAAAAAACAGACTTTATTAACCCTGACAAGGTCGTTTATACTTTATACGTATAATTTGTTTTATGTTAAAATATTTGGTGATTTTAAGGTCGGCGGTATGTTCGATCTCATTCTAATTTCATTTAATAGTTAATTTGGTAATTCTGAGGAAACTGAAAACAAGGTTCATTGTATAAATTTAATGTATATATTTTTTGGGTTGTATATTAAATTTGCCCAGCCTACACTGGGCCTGGTTCATCCAGGAACCCTTTTGCGGTACCTCTCTTCTCTGTATAGGATGGGTACCGCATTCCCACTCTCGAGCACCTGAGCGCCAATAATACGCGCGATGTATTGGGAGCAAAGGAAGACAGACGCATATTAGCAATTCTACGAACAAGGTAAATTCTTGGCCTAATTTTAAACCTATTTTTTTGGCGGATTTACAAACCGTTATTTTTGCAATAAATAAAACGTGATAGCTCGCTTACGGTTTAGACTTTGTCTAAAATTTACGTGCGTGTCGTTACACTATGTATTTAGGGTAAAAAATGAAAAAGTCGATGGTTGTGACGATTTATTTGGGCATCCATGTGATGGGTGTAATACTATATTATGTAGAAAGTGCGAAAAATGGTCAACAACAGAAGTTAGATTTGTCCAAAACCTGTCTCGGAAAATACCATTCTTCTGTAGCACCCAACAGAAGACCTTGATCAAACAGTTAGAAAAAACATGTTTGGAGAACAAAACCGTAAGAGTGGATATGGAGAGAATGGAAAGAATTATAAGTAAGCAGCAGCAAGTAATCAGTTCCAAGGATGATGAAATAGCGAACCCGAATAAAGAAAAAAATAATATAGAGGAGTGCTTAAGGATAACCAAGAGACAAACACGAGACTTTGAGGATGAGGTGATCGCATCGGAGGAAAATCACCGAAGTGAAATAGAGAAAAAGAGAGCCGAAATAATTAAATTAGGTAAGGAAAATTCAGAGCTCCTTCAAAAAATTAGAGATATGAATGGCAACATAGAGATTACGAAACTTAAAATCCAAAGATTAGAGGTTGATATGGATGATTTAACTGCGACAAAAAATGATATGTTATCTACAATTAAAACATTGACTGCTGATAATGAAATATTCATAAAGAAATACAAAGAATCTCAATGAGAACTATTTCACCTGCAAAGCTCTTCAACAGAAAATACTACCAAGAAAAGCACAATAGAAAATGTAACTGATGATGCAAGAAACCAATGTAATTTTAATCTTAGTCTGTCCACAGAACAAAAGCAACAATCTAGACAACAGCGCGAAGCTAAAAAAAATTCCGGAAAAATTATGATTATTAGAGATAGCACTATTGCTGATATGCAAAAAATTCTGCAAAAGCAAATGGGTCTGGAAAAATATAGTGTAATCTGAATAGTGAAACACAATGCATTGTGGAAGATCTCCAGAACCTCACAAAGGACTTCAACCAAATGAACTATGTCGTCATCAGCAGGGGACTAAGAAACGCCTTAATGGAGGGCAAGGTAGAGGAAACAGTGTTTCAGTGTTTGTGGAAAATAGGAACGAAAACAAATTTAATCATTCTATCATTACCTCTGTGAGGAAATAGAATAGTTCTAAACAAATTTATCGATCAGATTAACATTAAACTTTATACATTTGTTCAGAATATGAGTGAGGGCAGCACGTTCATTAATATTAACTCTTTTTTAAGTTCATCATCTTGCTTCTTTCAGCCACGTGACTTGGTACTCAAATGTACCGCAAAAAAGGCAATTGCGGATAATATAGCTGTTAGTGTATCAAAAACTTTTTTAGGCTAACAGAGATTGGCGAAACCATACATACTACCACTAACAATAGTTCAAAAATCACAACAAAAAGCAGTAAAATTTCACTATTTTCACTGAACATCCAGTCATCTCGGGAAAAGAGGGATGATTTACTTATACTGCTAAATGAATTAAAAGAAATGCCTAAATTTTTATTGCTAACAGAGCACTGGCTGAGGGAGGAAGAGGTGTGTTTCCTTCCTGATTACAGAGTTCTATCAAGTTTTTGCAGAAAGAACGGATATGGTGGTACAATGATACTCGTTCACGAATCCTTCTTAAGTGACCATGATGTTGTGGATCTGGATACGTATAACTTTCTTATTAAACAAAACGAATTTGAATTTTCTATAATAAACATGAAAAAACTTAACATTTTTGTAATCTGTATATACAGACCACCTTCAGGTAAACCACTGGATTTTTTGTAATCCTTGGAGTTACTGTTGTTCAGATTCCCATTGTCGTCAATCCTAGCTGGAGACTTAAATATAGGTAGACTTCGTTGACATAAATTCCAGAGATACAAAGTCAATGGTCAATTTACTCTCGTGTTTAAATCTCAAAGTATTCGTGAACGTTGATTACATTTGTAGCAATATCGAACAAAGTTATCTAAGTTGCGACGTAATTCCTCCTGGGATTTCTGATCATGAAGCCCTTACGGCCGAATTGGTACTACATTACGAAAAGCAGAAAAGAATAGTAAAGAAGGGTAGAATTTTTAGTACTAGAAACTTTGAGACATTCAGATATTTGGCGAGCACCATCAACTGGGAAATTATCCAAAACTCAGCCAATCCTATAGAGTGTTTTTAAAAAACAGTTATGACTATTTTTAACAAAAGTTTTCCCTTAAAAAAACTGAAAATAAAACCTAAATAACGGTGGATCACAAATGGAATGGACCTCTCGCATGAATTTTTTTTATTTGCTTATTGGAAAGAGGAGTCAAAATTAGGCTCAACTGAATTTTTTTCCGATTTTTTTCGGACTTGCAAAGGCTCTAAATTTCGATTTGAAGTTCAAATTTCTGATTGGTCAATTTTGGCCAGTGTTGCCCAGATGTTAAGGCCGTATCAGACGTGCCGTTGCCGATTACTATTAACGATTACGATTGGGAATTCGACCAATCAAAATATACCTGCTTCTGGTTGCGATTGCCGTTGTGTGTTTAGGTTAGAGTCTAAATTTTACGAGGCCGTTCTGAACCGTAGCCAATGAAAGCGCTTTATGAACAGCATGTGGCATGTGTCTAAACGTCACCTTTTTGAGTTTTGCAATTTATCGCTTCTGGTACTGCACCCAAACCGATTTTGTTTGGATCTTTCTCTTTTCTCTTCTTCTAATATAATCATATAGCACAGCAATGCGGAAGAAACTTTCCGACGACGTTCGGCGCTGTAGTTTGAATATTTTAGCTGCGACATTTTGACGTTATAAACATTTCAAGTGACCAGTAATCGGTAACGGAACAGTGTCAAGTGTGATTGCAACCGCGACGGCAACGGCAACGGCTAACGGAATCGGCAATGGCACGTCTGAAACGGAATCGGCAATGGCACGTCTGATACGGCCTTTATGGTTTTCATGTAAACTTTTCCTGGCGGGAACACTTAAATCGATATATCGAATCCACAGATTTGTAAGTATCGGACGGAATATGGAATCGATTCTCATTCCTATGAAAAACTTAACCCAACTTTTCAATTCATTATAATCATTATTATTATTAGCCTGTCCAAAACTCCAAAACAGACAGAAGCAGAGAAGGCACACAAACCATCAAGAAACAAACCATAACCCCGAGCATAAGGCCATTATGTCGTTCATAATTGAATACCTTAGGTTACTCATTTTCTAGTGTGTGCTTCTATTTTAGAGGTTTCTACCTGATAAGCATTAAGGGAATGATTATTTGTAGAAGGTTGCTCTACTCCACCTGCATTTTACTAATACCTATCTACCGAGTACCTACCCTTCATGTGAATTTTTTTTCGAAAGCATATCTATGCTCACCTGTGGCCAGTTTCCGGAATCAGTCTTTACAAACTCTTCCACCCTCCATCGCACAAACAAAATAAACAATAATTACCTAACTATTAAAATTATTATTATTTTTCTTTTGAGTGGTTTATGGGAAATAAAACACGAGTATAATTTTTATGTGTCTGTATTCCATACCTTCCAGTTTCCCTGAAGACCTTTTTAAATTTTCACAGGCAAAAACATAATTTTTCTTTTTTCTTCAAATTACACTGGCCCAGCCTGCTGTTTTTTGTTGTTAATTATTGATTATTTTGTTTGTGATGGAATGGATGAACCAAGTTTGTAAAAGCCAGGGGTCACTGACCTATGTGCTAATAGTAAACAAAAATCGCTTTTATTGTTTTCGTACTTTATACTGTGCCGGATTAGTACAGATTTCGATTTCTTTGTTTAATTCGCATTTATAGACAAGGAAAGAAAATTGTCGATACTAGTCGATACTTCAATTAATAGATGTTGTTTTTCTCTTTCAAGTTTCAAGTCAGAAGTAGGGCTGTACCAAAGTCGATACGCCTAGCGATTTTGAAAAATATATGCCTCCTTTTTTGTGCGATGTGTTCAAAAAGAAAAAAAAAAGATTCGTTTGGAACATGGAAATTTGACAAACAGTAATTTTTGATTGGTGCAAAAATCTGGCGCAAAATTCAAATAATCTGCTTTTTTTTCATTCAATTTATGGCTTCAAGATTTTTTAAAAAATTAACCAACCATACTGTTATGTAGTACATAAAATACACTTTCGTTACAGATAAATTATATACCTAATTTTGATTGAGTGCAAGAGGTCTATTGGAACTTCGGGCAGAAGTATTAGGTCTTTACATACAATACGAAAGTTTGTAAACTCTGATTGGTTTAATAATTATTTTAATCTATATCGGAGCATATATAAAAAGTTGATACGCACAGCGAGAAAAAATACTATCATACAAGGATGAACAACGCGACCAACCCTCAAAGAGAATATTGGAAAATTATTAATGAAATGCGAGGCAAATCAGAAAAGACAACAAGCAAACTGAATATTACGTCATCAGAACTAAATCAGTTTTACTGTACAATCGCCAGTAAATTAACAAGTAACCTGAAGGTAAATAAAGACCCACTAAGCTTTCTACCACCTTTGATACCGACAGACAACTTTGAGCTTTTTCCTACAAATACAGAGTGCGGCATAAGTTCCGCCCCACTATCACTATTCTTCGCTTTTTCGTGCAAAATGGGGGCGGAACTTATGCCGCACCCTGTATAATAGAATTTAAAAAAATCTTCAATACCATAAAAAAAGAAACAAAATTCCTCAGGTGTTGACAACTTGTCATTAAAGATATTTGGAAATCTGCCAAAAGAAGCTCTCATGGCACTTGTCACTTGCATTAATGATTCCTTTATCGCAGGTGAATTTCCAGACTGTTTGAAGTTAGCTGTTGTTGTTCCAATATTTAAAAGTAGGAATGATCAGAAACCATCTAATTACCGTTCAATTTCGTTGTTGATAACACTTTCGAAAATCATAGAAAAGATAGTTGAAACTAGATTGGTTGAATATCAACGCAACAAAGATATTATAACACCAGAACAATTTGGGTTTTAGGAGGGAAAGGGAACCCATGACGCCATTTTCTCATTTTTAGAAAAGCTTTTTTTTTGAGCCTTAATGATGGCGAAAAGGCGGCAACAGTGTTTTGTGATTTTTCCAAAGCATTTGATTGCATGAATCACGAAATACTGCTTCGCAAAATGAGTCATTATGGTATCAGGGGAGGAGAACTCAAATGGTTCGAGTCATACCTGACTGAAAGAAGTCGGTTTATAAGAAAATCAAATTGTGAGGACTCTGAAACGTTGAGACTTGAACATGGCGCCCCACAAGGGTCAGTTCTCGGTCCTGTTCTCTTTTTGCTATACGTAAATGACCTGGCCAAGTTATCCATATCAGGAATATTTGTAATCTTCGCAGATGATACTACAATACTCTGGAAACATAAGAACCAAGATGCGTTAGCACATATGAGAGCAAGATTTGGGGAAGGTTAAAGAGTGGTGTGATGCAAACTGTCTTGTATTGAATATAAAAAAAAAAACAAATATTCTTTCATTTAAATGTTTTCTTGATGGAATTGCACTTAACGATAACATCCTGGAAGAAAAAGATGTTGTGAAATGTCTTGGAATCCATATAGATGCAAAACGCAAATTTGACAATCACATAGATATGCTAAATAAAAAACTTGCAAGGGGCTGTTACATGGTCAAAACGGTTGCACAGGAACTGGGGATGGTTTCGGCAAAAACTACTTATCATGCTCTTGTTGAATCTCATCTTCGCTATGGCATTGCTTTTTGGGGTTATTCAACGCAAAACTCAATTCAATCTGCTTTTATCTTACAATAAAGAGCCGTAAGATATTTGTGCCGGGCGAAATGCAGAGATAGCTGCAAACCACTTTTCCTTAAGCACGAAATTTCAACAGTTCCGTGCATTTTTATATTAGAAACGGCCTGTTTATTTTCAAAAAATTCCTAGACTTTGAAAGAGAATCAAACTATAATCTAAGACAAAACTACTTGCCTTTACCTATACCTAAACTTGCTCTTACAAAGAACTCTGGGATCTACAAGAGTGTTAAGGTCTTTAATGAACTCCCTACTGAAATAGAAAATACAAATGACTATTCTGCTTTTCGTCGTGACCTAAAAAGGTTCTTTCTAGTCAAGGCATACTACAGCCTACAAGAATTCTATTCCTAGTCTAATTTATATATATGTATTTTTTGTTTTACTATTTTTCACCTATGACTGATTTTATCAATAGTTATTTTTGTTTTAAGAATAATCGCGCATTTTTTTTTATTTATATTTTCTTTTTTTTAGAGTTTTCTGCCTATATTAATTTTTATCAGACTTCTATTTTTGTGCTAATTTTTTTTTGTTTTAATTTTGTCTTGTGTGTATTTTACACTGTTTCCTTTTTATTCTAGTCTCTTTTATGGATTTTATTTTAAAAATATTTGTAGTTAGGTACTGTTTGTTATGTATGTATAGTATTTTATTTATTTGTTTATTTTTATTTTTGTTTATTTTTATACCGTTTGTGGCCGTTATAGTGCCTACTTTGTAGTTAGGAATTAGTATTGGAATCCTGTTTGTCAATAATTTCTCGGGAATTTGAACAATGAAGCTTATTTTGAAATTGAAAAAAGAAAAAAATAATTCAATCCCACATTACGCCCTTAACAAAACTTGCCTCTGGATGTAACTGTGTGAGAGCGGTTGCACAAATCTAAATATTTTTACTGCCACAAATCTGTGCTTTTGGCAACCGTCCAGACGCATCTTTCCTATGGACTTCTATTCTGGGACTGATGTTAGCAGTATCTCTTCCAATCCACATTTAAACTCCAAAACGTGTACTCTTCGATTCATGGCCGGTGTCTCTCCTAGAGATCTCTGCTATGTCATCCTTCATCCTAACTCTTTCATGTCTCTGCATCTTGGAATCAACAAAGCTTGTTCAAAAACATGTCTCCATCTCCTGAACACCAAACCAACTATGGAACACGTCAAAGGTGCCGCTTCCCATTCCAAGCTCTGTGCTTGTGAGAAATTCTATGATCTATTTTTTTTTTTTGGAAAAATGCGAGTTATTGTTACCAAATTTGTCCGATTTACGGCAGCAATTCCAATGAAAGTAATAGCTACCGCAACGATTGCAAAGAAAACATACTAATTGACCAAAAGAAAAATGCCCATTATTAAATAATATACCTGAGACATGTCCATTCTTATTTTCTTGAACAACTACTTGGTGCAATTGGTGTGAATCAATAAGAAAAATACCTACGTCAATGATTAGGACTATTCGTTATTCGAGCAACAGAACACTAAAAACTGCATAGTCACACGTCACACCACTTGATATATTTGTATTGATTAAAAAAAAATATATAGATTGGATTTGAATTTTTTTATTTATTAAAACATTCAGTTACAAGTGGTTGTTATAGATAACCAAAGTATTTAAGATGGATTTATTTTTCAAAAGATTATTTAGTCTTTAGAGTGGCTTCCAGGTAAGCAACGAATATCAAGATATAAACACACCAAAATTATTCTAATATTTCATTGTCAAATATAGAACACACAAATTGCTTTCAAAATTTGCCCAAAAATGAAGACGCTCCTACTCTTAGCTACCTTGGTGCTAGCTTATCGAGTTGAAGCCTTCAAAAACCTGTACAAAGATACCAACAAGCTTCTAAGAGCGCGTCCAGGCGCCGACGTTGGAGATCCTCTTATACTCACTCCATACCTGAAGCTAAACAAAATACTCGAAGCTCAAGCGGCTGCCAAAGTTGAACATCCAAGTTTCCTCAACGTCACAAGCTACGCTGGATATTTCACTGTCGATGAACGTTACGATTCAAATATTTGGTTTTGGTATTTTCCTTCTGCAGGTATAAAAGCCATCAAGCGATCTGAAAACTATAAGTTAATGAATATTATTATTCCAGACAAGCCCACTGATGATCCAGTAGTTCTCTGGCTAAATGGTGGTCCAGGAGCTTCAAGTTTAAATGGCCTCTTTGACGAAAACGGACCTTTTATTGTGGGTAGTGACGGTTCAGTGAGCCTAAGAGAATATTCCTGGCACAAAAATCATTCTCTTCTCTTCGTGGATAATCCAGTCGGAGTAGGCTACAGTTTCACTAATGGAAACGGACTTGCTAGAAATGAAACAAAAGTTGGTGAAGACATGCACTCAGCCTTAACTCAGTTTTTCCAACTATTTCCAGCTCTTCAAAAGAATACCTTTTTTATCAGTGGAGAATCTTATTCTGGAAAATATTTGCCTGCTATTGGTTACACTATTCTAAAGAAAAACCCAATAGCTGAATCAAAGATAAACTTGCAAGGCATCCTTATTGGTGATGGTTGGACTGATCCAATCAATCAACTCAACTATGGACCTTTTCTTTATAATACTGGTCTTATCAGTGCCAGTGTTAAAGAACAAATTGATCAATACAGAGATAATGCTATCAAACTAATTCAAGCAGGTAAGAATTCTCAAATATGCTTTTTTTTTTCATCAGTATATCAAAATAAATATTCTTGAAAACCAGATGACTCTGAAAGTGGCTTTTAACATAATATCATGATGGTCATTAAATCTTTCCCAGTACTTATTTGTTTCAACTATTTGCAGTAATACAATGGTGTAGATCTCTGGCCTAATTTCATTTCCACTAACGAAATTAGAAAAGTAATTCACGGTAGTAATTTTAGTTTCGGAGACAAGGGAGCTGGTGATGCCTTGATTAACGATATGATGCAATGCGTAGCTCCATGGTTGGAAAATCAAAGAATTCTAATTTATACTTGTCGAGTGGATATTATTGTTAGGTTTCCAATGATTGTAGACTAATGTGCAAACATTCAATTTTACTGGAGCTGAAGCATTAAGAAACGCTGATAGAGATATTTAATATTCGGCCAATGAACCTGCTGTTTATATGAGGATTGGCAAAGAGATTCTGGTTAGAAGTGCTGGCCATATTGTTACCAAGAGACCAACCTAAATGGAGTTGAGATTTGCTGTATAAATCCACAAGACCTTATGCCTGAATAATTATTTTCTTTTTACAAAAATGTGCTTTTATCGCAGTAATAAACTGAAACTTCCAGGTGAATAATCATCAGTAGTTGAAGTCTGGAGTCAACATGTTTATACTCATTAACTACGTGTAAGAACTTATTGACTATTCTTTTTATTGGAATTCAAGTTTAAAGGAAATAGGGAAGGTAATTCATGTATGAGACTTCATATTTGCTAACCAAAAGATCGTAAGTTGCTTTGTATAGAGATAGTATGCAAAGCTTAGCTCACGGTTGGAAAAACTTTTGGAAAATTAGCAATTATTGACTACTACTGGACAATTGATTATCATTATGAAATTCCAACAATTTTGGATTGTCTTGAATCTTCTGGTCATGAATCTTCTAGTGAAATTTGACATGGTATAATACATCTGCAGGATCTGCATGAACAATCAGAGAATATCAAAAAAGCTTCGGCCAGGAATTCAATGGATCAGCAAGAATGGGCTTATCATGCTTTTGAGACTTATTAGTACTAGAAATAGGTACTTATATTTTAATTTTTGCTTAACTATCTTCTTTCTTTCAGGTGAATACTCAGCCGCTGATGAAGTAACCAACGAAATTTATTCTCTAGTAGGATCTGTGTCCAACGTTAACATCTATAACTACGTTGAAAAATATGATGATCCAGATGTCTGGCCATCTTACTTGAATACTGATGAACTCAGAAGAGCAATCCATGTAGGAAACATTATCTTTGGCGATAAAGGTGCAGGAGAGGCTTTGGAAGATGACATATCCCAGAGCATAGCTCCTTTGGTGGAAGAACTTTTGGAAAATTATCCAGTTCTTTTATACACAGGCCAGCTAGATATCATTTGTGGTTATCCAATGGCCTTAGATTATATTCAAAAATTGAACTTCACTGGAATTGAAGAGTATCGAAATTCTTCCAGAGATATTTGGTATGTGAACGGTGAGCCTGCAGGTTATGTAAGAACTGGAGGATATTTGACAGAGCTGTTGGTTAGGAATTCTGGACACATGGTGCCACGGGACCAACCTAGATGGGCATATGATATGCTTTATAAATTTACAAGGAATCAACCCTATGCTTGAGTAAATTAATTTATGGTTCAGAAAATGTGTTTCAAGTTTCTGTTCTCATTGAAGGAAAAAAAAAATCCTCTTACTACCACTTAGTACATTGCCAACGGAAATTCAGACTGGTTAATGTAATTCAATGCTAGGTAGGGGTATTTGCCCTCAATGTAGTTGTTACCAACTCGTCGACAAAGCTCATTTATCCTATTTTCATTAATATGCAATCCCTGAAGGATGATTTTTAATTCCTGACTTCTAGAAGTACCGATTCTTAAGTCTGGGGAGCCATCAATCGTTACCAATTATTGTCCAATTTGTATCCATAAAGCTATTTCAAAGGTATTTGGGGCCATATTCACAAAGTTTCTTTCTTCTTACTCGGTGATCAACTCTGAATAGTTGGCTTCAAAAAAAAAATCATTCACTGAAAATAACCTCTTTCACATAAGACAGTCTGACAAATGCATTTAGAGAGGTGAACCGGTATATACCTACTCCGACTTCACCAAAGAGTTTGACAGGGTCAATGATGCGAGCTACTGTTTAGGAAGCTTGAGATCGCAGGCATTTCCGGCTCCCTGCTTCAGTGTATTTAAGATTATATACTTAACAGGTAGGACACAGATACTTCACTCAAACAAATAACAGATCTCGTATCGCATATACGTATATACCTTATCACAAACCTCCAAAATATATATTTGTGGTAGTTTTCAGATTATTGAAGGAAACACGTCAAAATTTTTCATAATTTATCAAAATATAATTTATTCATTATGCTTCGAAATCACATAAAATCAAAATCGGACGGTTTCATTCAATTAAAAAATATGAGTAGGTATTGTTAAGGGAAACAAATAGCCTATAAACAAAATGTATTTTGCGGTGCTTTCTATTTATTATATACTGAAAAATGATAGTATTGCGCTTGAAAATAAGATATTCTTAGTCGATGAAAATTTCCACTGTTATCGGTTTTTATATCGCGTTTTTTATGAACAATATAAAATAACTCGCCGAAAACGGAATATATCGATACGCTGTTTGCTGCAAATTGAAACCTGTTAAAGTTTCTTTATGTCATATTATATAGAGGCTATAGGGCCAGGGCCGGTCCAATAGCTATTATATACCGAGGCAAAGTTCAATCCTGGCGCCCCCTTCTCAAATCGTATTGTCAAAATGGATAAACAATGAATTTTAGGCTATCGTTTAGAGAGTAGGAGGATAAGACAAAAAAAATAACTTCATTTTCTTAAATAACTAAGTATATCATATATTTACTTATTACATGAGGTCTGTTCTCGCGCAGAAATCACAAAGCAGTCGGAGTGTTTTTGATTGTTGCAAATCTCCAGCAACCAGTTTTCTTATAGTTTACAAACAATGAAATTCGCTCTGATAGGTATAATGTCTCAACACACTAAAAATGAATCCGTCTGGCTCTACGTCTTGCAAAGTCAGAGGTGAGTTCATTGATAGGTCTGTTCTCACAGAAATCAGCAACCAGTCAGACGGAATTTCATTGGTTGAAAATAGTCATAAAACTGGTTGTTCGCGATTTGTACCAATCAAAAACTCTCTGACTGAGTTGTGATTTCTGTGAGAACAATAATCTACCATCGAACATGCCATAACCACCGACTGTGTTCTATGGTTGAAGGTTATAACAGGACAGGTCTGTTCTAACTGACATGCAGAACCGTTCTAGAATTTCCAGTTTCCCACCTATTTTTCACTAATGGCGTTTCCGATTGGTAGACTTAGTGCGGAACTAGTGCATTTTTTTCTATTTCTCTTTTTCTTCTACAGGTCGATTAAAAGGATGCAAATACATTCAGTGCGCACTGAATCTACCAATCGGAAACGCCATAAGTTGAACGATAATCCTAATTGACAAATGAATTGATCAACTGGAAATTACCGTTTTAAAACGGTTCTGCATGTCGCTTGGAACAGACCTATTATTTTCAATGGCATGTAATATTGACAGTTGGGTTTTAGAGGGCGCTTCTGTACTTGGAGCTCTTTAAATTTTGGCGCGTGAATAATCGAATGTAATTTTAACCTAAAAAGTCAAGTTTCATGTGTGATTTCAAGACAAGCTGACGCTGACACTTTTGAAAATATTCTTTAAGGACCACTGAATGTTTTGGAACATATTTTAACTTATTCACTGATCATTGTTCATATGTAGTCATATTTCCTTCTACTTATTAAAACGGTTTAAAACTATTGACATTTACCGCCAAAATTCAAAGCACTCCAAGTTCACTCGCGCCCTCTACAAAATTTTGGGGAACTTAACTGGATATTTGCTGCCATTAAGCTCTCCAAACCACGTGATTTTTCAATATGGCGACTGAGGAAAATTTGACGTTTGTTTATCTTGAGATTATTTGGAATATTTTCGAGCTAATTACAGTTTATTTTGTTATAGTATACTTTTTGAGATGCAGAGACTTTAATGCAGGAAAATCAGGATGTGGGCGAAGGATAAGTTTGAAAAAATGTCTAGTTGACATTTGTTTACATTTTGACCTAGTTTTTACAGCAATGAGCAAATGAAGGCCTACAAAAGCTTAAATTCTTACGAGTATTTCGAGTATGGCTTTATTTTAGACGCAGGAACAGTGGTACTGAATAATTTTTACGTTTTAATTGGAAAAACTTGAAAGGTTGGGCACTGAAAACAACCTGACATCATCCTTGTTGAAACGCCTTTTAAAATCAACTACAAGACACCTTTGTGGCATTTTTAATTAGAAAAAAGCCTCATGCAGTCAATAAAATAAAAAAATAAATAGGGTTTAGTCACAAAACAACCACACAATGCACTTTAAAAAGCTTTAAATTCTATACTCTCATATACGGAATAAGGAACTTCCGCCCCGATCGCCATTTTGGAATAGTTTTGACAGGTCGTTGGAATGCCTAATTCCTACGAAAGTAAAGTCTGTTTTTTTTTTAAAGATAATTCCTCAAGTCAAAAATTATTACTATGTTGGCAACACAAGCCTTTTCTACATGAAAAATTTGAAGCATTGACAATTTTATATTGCATTGCCAACATAATGTCATTTTGACTTTTATCTTAAAAAAAAAAAACTTTAACGAAAGTCCGTTCAATCTGTCTTTAGACAAAGATAATCGAGAGGAGCATGAGAGGAGTGCCTTGATGAGCGGTGACAGGTGACAGTGGTGCATTACCGGACAATGTTGTCGGATCTTTTATTATCTCCCTATTATCCTTGTGGCATAAAACATTTTTTTTTAATTAACTGGCTTATCGAAATAAATTTATTTGCAATTTGGCTCCCCTAATCGTGGCGCCCTAGGCAGTTGCCTCGGTTGCCTGTGCCTAAATCCGGCCCTGTATAGGGCAAATTGTCAAGAATATGGAATACTTTGAAAGAAGGAGGCACAATGAACATTAAAATTAGGCCCCCCGAAGTTTCAACCAAATCTCAATATTTTAAAGGTATCATCATTGCAAAAACAAATTTGAAATGTAAAGAGGATCGTATGTCTGTGATAGCAGATATAACTCATCAAAGTACGTAGGTCCTGCTATGCTATGCATAGGAAATATCCCTACGTAGATTTTCTTGATTATCTCGAAAAAAACTAATCCAATTTTGACCTTTTTGGAGTTTGATACCTACAAAACGACCCCAAAAACGTCAAAATCGGATTAGTATTTTTCGAGATATTCAAGAAAATCTACGTAGGGATAGTTCCTATGCATAGCATAGGAAGACCTCCTAACTTTGATGAGCTATATCTGCTACCACAGACATACGATCCTCTTTACATTTCAAATTTGTTTTTGCAATGATGATACCATAACCTTAAAATATGGTCAAAAAAGAGGTCAATTTTAAAGAGACCGGGTTGAGCTTTCACTAAATTTAAGATTTCTTTATTTTCTACAAGAAAAGGTTTCCTAAAATTTCACCGTATTTCAATTTTTTTCTTAATATGATCTGGTTTAAAAGTGACTAATCAGTAATTTGTGGATAACCACCGTTGATAAATTGATAGTGTTGGAAATTGCGTTATTTGCTTGGAACCAAAAAACATATCGTTTAGGATGTGTTTCAACACACAAAATTGTTTTGAGTAGTAGTTATAGGATTTTTGGGGCTTGGATACAGAGCAGCTCCAATCATATCCCGCAAAGGTCTTCTGTCCCTGTCTGGTACATGGCTTCAGAGGGAATATCGATTAGGGGAAGCGAGACGCTGCACTGCTGAATGAATCTTATATCGAACGAACCACCGAAAAGCGAATGTGGGTCAAGGGAAAATCACGAAGCAACCACATCATAGAAAATTGGAGAATTGCGATCCGTCTTTACTGAGTAAAACGGTTTCCATCTTTATTGGTTGTTTAGTCAAGGTGGTTGAAGTAGATGGACAAAACAAAAAAAAATAAGATATAAAATAGCAAAAGTTCAACCAATCACACGACACTAAATACATAAAGTTTTGCTTACAATTTACGCAGGCAACGGTCGGACTGCTAAGTCGACATAAAATTCAGTCAAGCTATAGTAGGTTTATTCTGTTGAAGTTTTTTAAGCATTTTTCTAAACGATTCAATTGTATTTAGTGACTTCAACCTAAATGCTGGAAATTAAAGATCTTTCCGCAGCAGTACATCGTAAGCCACACAGTCGAATGTTTTCGATAGATCACAAAAGATCGCCACCGAAGCCTCTTTGTTGTTGATATTCTATTCCATCTAACGTTTTTCCGGTCAAAATCTTCGAAACAGGTATAAACACAAGATTGGATGATCCTGAAAAGAAGAACTTGAGTGTTTTTATGTTGATATCTGAATATTTAAGCACTGAAGAGAATAAGCTCAGGGTGTTTTTTTTTTCAGCGGATTCTTGCATCCAACGTAATGCCCAGATATTCTGCCATGTGCGAACAAGGAATCTGAGTGAGGAATTTCGTGCTCCCTTTTGTGAAGTTTATGTAGACTGTACTACCAAATCAATGGAACCAGCGTTGGATTTAAGTAATGAGTGACTAAAAAATGGAGACACCAAAACAAACATCCAGTTCTCACTGAATGAGAAATTCTCTGCT